AATTTTGGTTTTTTTTTTAGCTAATCTGTTCATAAAAACTGATAAGTAACTGATAAGTAACTCATAAGCAGTTTTACAATCACCGATAAATAATCACTTTTTAGTAATCACACTGTATCATATATATTATTGGCTCAAATCTATTTAATCTCATCATTCTACTTAAATAATCACAAACTAATCACAAAATATGGATTAAAAATAATGCAATAATTCTGGCCGAACTTTTGTAAAGCCGGGTACTTTATATATAACGTAATGAAAATACATGAATCTGCTTGTATTGAAATTTACGTAAAGCATATGTATTGTAATTTTCGTAACACAACCCTAACTAACTATATGTACTATATTGAACTAAAGTTTTATGATTCCTTAACTTAAAATTCTTCGCTATATCAAATCTTCACTATAACTATAGCGAGAGCCGAGTTGTACTGCTCGTGAAATGAAATTCTTGCAATACTATACACAGTACCTATACGTATTAAAATTATAAATTTTTTTTCTTTTAAAATAAATCCAAAATTTTAATAATAGCCTTAGTAAGAAGTCGTATTCAAATTTTCATACTATGCCAACCATAACTTTAACCATAAAAGTAAAGTTTTATCGTTATTATTTAATTATAAGTTACACGGATTACACTACCATCGGTGATTTACAATAATATATAATATATTCTATTAAAAGTCATAATAAAACTAATAATAAGAGTGATAAAATAGAAAGAGCATTAAGAATATCAATATTTCGATAATATAACTATCAAACTGATTTCCCAAATAATTGATTTAAATTCATATTAATAAATATAAATAATATCATATAAAATCTGTGCACATACTATATTATATATTTATTATCCTGCATGTTCAACAGGAGCGAAAACAAGTTTTCTATCAATTATAGTACACTTCAACTGCTCTGGAATTGGTTTTTCTTCGAAATCTCCATCGGAGGTCGGCATTTGAATATTAATAGAAGAGCTTTTTGAGGTAAAAACTTCAACACCAAGACATTCTTCAGATAAATATATTTGACCACTATCAGTCTTGTCTACAGCAATTACTGGAACTTTGCCCTGAATCTGAAGTTGAAAAGATTTACAGTTCACTATATCAACTGTTGCTACAGCAGTATCTACAAGTAGGCCAGTTCTTTGGCATGAATCTACATGTATAAAAAAAAAAAATAAATATCTAATTTACGGTGAAATATAAAATATGATATAAAAACACGTATGAACTTGCCAAGAATGACAGCCTTGATTTTGCCTTTGACACTTATTGTCGAGTTCTTGCATCCAAATATGTAAACGGTGTGATTTATTGCAGTTTCCTCAATCACGATGTTATTGTCATTTTCATAGTTTTCCTAAAGAAAAAAATTCAGATCAAAAATCTTCACATCATCGCTATGAAAAAAAATAAATTGTTTAACCGGACTTACGATAAGCCATTTATTATTATCGAATTCCTTTTTAGGCGGCTTTTTAAGAGATAATGATGCAGGTTTAGGAGGAGCAGCGGGCCCTTTTTTTTGAGTTTCTTCAAGAGTCCAAAAAAAATAAAAATAAAAATAAAATAAAATAAATAAAATAAAAACATTTATTTATTTATTTTTAAAAGGTTGATGAATTAAAAAGGTGACTTAAAGTTATTATACCTCCAGTAAAAGAAACGGTACTACCAGCTCGTAAGCTAGGATTTTTATGAGTCATTTGACTTTTATCAACTTTCCTCAAGCTGGAGGTAATATCTTCTCCGCGATTAATTTCTTTAAATACTGCACTCATATCAGTTGAACCCTTATTAGTTGGGTCATCGGCCAAAATTTGTGGAGGAGGAGGTGGTGGTGGTGGTGGTGGTGGCGGTGGCGCACCGGAAACACTTGATGATGTTGACTTAGACCCATCTGGCTTTCTGCCTATGAACGTTTCCGGCTTGGCACCCTAGTATCATTATAGTTTTTATTACGCCGAATTTCAAATATATGACTTTAATGAAAAGTCTGACAAAACGAATAGCAACCTTTGAATTCCAGATGAGGCCATGGGCATGAAATTTGGTAATATATTGAAGAAGTCCTGTCAGAAGGTGAATATAACTATTGGCCCAGTCAGAATGAGAACGATCCCTAAAAAAATATTTAAATAATATGTAAAAATATTTCCTATATAAACGATGATTTATATCGAAGGCAAATTTTACTTACTTGTCTTTGAACTCCTTTATTACACGATGAGCATAGTATTGAGAACTTTCTATTAATCCTTTAACTTGAGACAACAGTTTTTCTTCCATTTCAGCTGTTTCTTCAAATGTGACCCATCTAAGCACGCCAATACCCTCACTCACAGTTATTAAGTGATTATAGAAAGGTGAAATACGATTATTTTCTGTATATGCGCAAACTTTTTCAAGGGCTTGTTGAGTTGGTCTAAATAACTCAACTAATGTTTCAGGTGTTTTTGGTTTCGTGCTCTGCGTAGAAATGCATATGAAATCGCGTTGGGCTTTAAAAATGCCTTCAACTGAATGACTCTATAATAAATAATGTATTATCAAATACTTTAAAAACAGATTCTTATTACGTTTTAGGATCGGGTAAAAAAAAAAAAAAAAACCTGATCTTGCACAACGCTACCAATGCTTTTAGAGAGTTCAATAAAATTATTTAAAGGTCCTTCAATAAGTTCGTCATAAGCGTCAAGAGAGACGGATTTTGTCTCGGTAGCTGTGCCATTACCGGAAAGTATATTAGAGGGTTCGGTGGGCTGATTCCCGCTTGAGTCACGTCCAAGGCTGCTCGCAACGGCAACAGCCGAAGTACCAGAGGTAGCTAGTTCTTCAAGACGAGTAGTAGCAGTTTCAAGGCGTTTGATAAGGGTCTGTAAAGACTGAAATTCAGCCATGGCACAATTGATAGAATTGATGAGGTAGATTGGTCGCGGCAGAAAAATGTCGAGATCACGCGGTCGCCGATCGTTTCTGGCATTGAGTCGATCATCCTCACAACACGTATCCGATAGATTCCGAAATAATTGTTACACCGCTTTAACCATAATTAATGGCTATCCATTAGCTGTACTTAATTTAGAAAAATTTTTCTCAAATTTTTTATAGAGACCCGTCTCCATGGCGACCCTATATATAGCAACCAATCATATTTTAGAATTATTACAATTACCTTTTTTAGCTAATTTTAATTGGCCAATAGTAAGCTACTTACTAGCTCTTAAGACCCGGTCGGTGACCGGGTTCGAGTTCCTAATTTTTTGCTAATTCTTAGGCCTCAACATTAA